CAACTTGCACACGGGCCCTCCGAAATTTTTCGCCCTTGTCCGAGAGGCCTAGGTGTAGATCTTTCCTACCAGAATATCAGGGATGTGACTGAAGGACAGCAGTAAAAGAAGGAACCAAGGAGTAGCAGTAGAAAGGCTGCAAAAAGAGTCAGGAGCCCAGAGGAGGGGGCAAAGGAGGTGAGGGGGTGAGGGCAGAAAGACAGCAGTAAGAAGGAGCCAAGGAGAAGCAGTAGAAAGGCTGCAGAAAGAGTCAGGAGCCCAGAGGAGCTGGTAAAGGAGGTGAGGGGGTGGGGGCAGAAAACAGCAGTAAAAAGGAGCCAAGGAGTAGCAGTACATGTAGAAAGCGCTGCAGAAAGAGTCCGGAGCCCAGACAGAGGAGAAACAAGTTTACATTGCAAGGTTTCTGGTTAACGGTGCGCGCAGCTCTGATGCTTTCCCGGCGTGACCGCTCTGTGGCCTTGTTGTCTCGGTGGGGTTCCCGTTGCCCATTCCCCGCCAACAATGACCACTGGCTACCATAATCATTTGTGAGGCAGCATGGTGGAATCAGGCTCTCATCAAAATAATCAGAATGAAGAAACTTGCATTTTTTCGCAGGTTTGTGAATTTAAAAAAATATTTTTGTTTTTTGGCTCAACACCTTTCATGCCCATTGAAGAACTCATTTCTGTGTGGATTTTTCTGAAAAACGTTGATTAAAGACACAGAAAATGTAAATTTTCAGTTACCACGGACTCTTAAGCTAAGGAAATAACTACGCTTTTGAGGCCACTGAAAACAGGTGACCCCCACCTCCTTCTTTCGTAAATATCTCAACTTGTATTCGAGATAAATGGATACTTTTTTCATCCTAATATAGACAAGTGAACAAGCTTTAAGATGATACTAATAACTCTACATGCCCAAGAATTGACGAGAGACTGATTCCACCACTCTGCCTCACATTTGTGTCTTCAAAATATTTTGTCAGCGACAAGAATGGGGGGGTTCATCAATAATGTTATGTATCTGTTGTGTCATTTCTAGTACTTGCATTGCCCTATATTGTTTTCTAAGTATAATCCCCCCC